AGTCCATATGTTTGGTTTTATTAATATATCTGTCCTAAAGAGTAAAATTTCACAGCTATGACCCCATGAAGGAAAGTTATCTCCCACTCTTCGTAATTTGACAAACAGGAACTGGCTGTGCTTTTCGCTTTGAGCCTTTCCATATTTTCAACCTCCTCCTGCAGAATTTACAACCCAAAGGGTGAATGAACTCTTGAATAATCTGGTTATAGATAATCTTGTTTACTGAACATTTTGAAGAAATATTATGTAATATTCTTTTCCTTCCATTCCAATCTAAAAATATGTATTATTGGACCTATTCTGCAATTGAACTCCAGCTACACATAGACTTAATTTTCCTTCAGTAAATTTTTTTTACTTATCCCACAGTCCCTAAAATTGCTTCATAAGAGGAAAAACCCAAAACTATTAAACAGAATATTCAATTTTTTACCTTCCTTGCTCTTAAACCAACAGAACCACAAAATGACACAAACTGAAATCATGAAATTTTTTTAAATTATATAAAAATGGGACAGAAAAATGTATCACATCATTGTGGTTTTTATAGCATAAAGAAAACAGACACTAGCAGACTTTATATCTTACTACAGACACTTGTACATTCATGTTGACCCCTGCTCTACTCACAAGAGCTAGGAAATGGAATCAACCTAGATGTCCAACTGGTGAATAGATAAAGTGTGGTATATACACACTATTACTCAGCTACAAAGAAAAATAAAATTTTCAGGTAAATGGGTGGAATTGGAAAAATTACACTGAGTGAGGTAACTCAGGCCCAGAGAAATAAGTGCCACATGTTTTCTTTCATATGCAGAGCCTAACTTCATAGCTTTTGCTTTGTTGTGTTTAAATTGGAGCACAAGTGGAAGCCAGGAAACTAGAAAGGGGCCATTGGGGGATTCATTATGGGAGGAGGGATAGTAGTTTATAGGTAAAATCAAAGTAGAGAAGTTGAAGACCAAGGACAGAAAGGGAGGGGAGCAGAACTATGGGGGAAATGGAGGGATGGGTTAATCCAAAGGAAATGTTTGAAAAACCATAGGGAAGTCTACTGTCTCACAACCCAGTTAAAAAAATAATAATGGGAGAGATGATAGAATACATGTGAAATAAAAGAGATGGGGAAGGGAGGGTAGATACTGGGGGTTAAAGGGTTAAGTGAGGAAGAGGGCAGAGAGATGGTGGCAAGAAAAAAGTAGTGGGAGGGTTAACCAAAACTAAGAATGTCTTAAAAAGCCTTATGGAAACCCACTAGCTAGTAAGGTAATTTTAAAATACACTTAAAAAGAGAAAGAAGGAACAGAGCTACCTTGCACAAGTAGAAAATGTGGCTCCCGGACTACATGGATAATTAAGTGAAAATTTCAGTGCAAGGTATGGGATACCTCTCTACCAGTTATTGGTCAGAGAGGTCCCAGAAGTCTCCAAATCAGTACAGGCATTTGCCATTGTCCTTGGCTACTTTCCCCAACTACAGGGTAAGACCCTATTGCTGAAGATATCACACATTTTGGCTGTAGGGCATAGAGCAGCCAATCTCCAACAAAGGAAACCTCCTCCCTGCTGGCCAGCTTTTGTAGTGTCAGAAGGCCACTGAGGAGAGAAAACACATCAACGGTCTACCCAGTGCTGAACCCAGTACGCTGAATGCCAGGCAATATATGCCAAATGGTGCAAAGTGGCATGACTGTATGGGGTAATTAACCACTTTCCAATTGGATTTGAGGTCTGCTCCACAAGAGGAAATTTCATGCCTGGTACTCTAATCCTGGTCAAAATCCCATAGCTGAAGAAGTCATAGGCCCAGAGTAGGTAGAACTTGCTAGTATTATTTTGCTCAACGGTCAAGCTGTCAAAGTGCCTTCAAAGTACTTATGTTTACATCCATAGACCTAAGCTGCTCTTAACCTTGATCAGAAAAACTTCTTTTTGATAGGTAAAAAGTTGGCGGAGAACGAGCGAATGGATGATGAGGCACCAAGGCACAGCTAAAACTCCATCAAAATAGGTTTTATTAGCAAAGGAACACATGGGGCAGATACCCTTCCAGGCAGGGAAAATGTCTGCCCTATCTTGAGCTGGGGTCTTTTAAAAGGGAGGCTTCTGCCTCCTGCAGAAGGTGGGAAGATGTATTTTTTTTAAAATTGGGGGGGGGGAGGGAGTAGGAGAGCGGGACTGTTAAAACCTGTCCTCTTTAGAGATCAAAGGGGAAGCCTGCTGTGTTGGCCAAACAGTGGAGAAAAGTCTTCTTCTCTTGACTTCAAAGACCAAGTTGCTTATCAGCTAGGTTCCCTTTTCTCAGGAGCATGAGAAGTCCTTGGAATCCTGTTGGTGAGGGGGCAGGGCTATCTGAACCTTAACACTTTTTGCAGTGAGCAGCAGTCAGTGGAGAGATACATAAATGCTCAAAGTGCTGAGAGTAAGAGACTGAGTGCTCAGCCCTAAATGGGTCATATATATCATACCTCATTCACATACCAGTGCTCAGGGAACATCTCAGAAGAGGAAGAGGAAAGAACATAAGAGCCAGAGAATGGAGAGGAGTGCTGTGAAATGCTATCTTCTGGATGCAACATGGCTATTGTACTCATGAACTCGTGACAGTTATGGTTACCTGCATAAGACCTACACAAGATCAAGCCAGTCAAAATTCCAACACAGATAGGGTAGATTACGTCCAGGCCCCACCCCTTACTGAAGAGATATTAGCAGTTAATAGTTGCTGATGGAAGAAGAATCATTTTTCTGAGACAGTGGCTACCATTCCCACACTGGATGATCCCATATGCATGCCCATATAGGCCAGATGAACTGGATTTAGGGAGTTATAGAGAAAAAACATGAAGTTTGGATGTGTTGTGGAGGATGTAGGAGGAGTTTAAAGGGGGGAAATAGAGGGTAAATATGATATTTTATTATATACATGGATGAAATTCTCAAGAATAAGGAAAAAAATTTAACCATTCCCACACTGGATGATCCCATATGCATGCCCATATAGGCCAGATGAACTGGATTTAGGGAGTTATAGAGAAAAAACATGAAGTTTGGATGTGTTGTGGAGGATGTAGGAGGAGTTTAAAGGGGGGAAATAGAGGGTAAATATGATATTTTATTATATACATGGATGAAATTCTCAAGAATAAGGAAAAAAATTTAAAAAAAGCTGCCTGAGCCTGGTCTACATAGTGATTTCTAGGCCACCTGGGATTACAGGAAAAAAAAAAAAAAAAAAAAAAAAAAAAAAAAAAAAGAGTGAGCACAGTGTATATTTTCAGCCCAAACAAGCTGTTTGTTATTATTTTATCCTCTGTATTTTTGATAATTTAAATTCACATTAAATAATGAGAAAACTACCTAACAGAAGTTCATGTCAAAATCTCAAAAAAACTGCTTTACTTTCAGTATTATAAGCTTCATGCTTATGTTCTGATAGATATGATAATATGCATTTCTTCAGGAAATCAAAGTTTTGCACTCAGAATTCTCCAAAGAAAGTAAGCAAATTTAGGCAAAATGGACAAGAACAAATATCCCTTCACTGAGTAATGGAAGTCAAGGGAGTGTCAGGAACCATGAACAAGGGAGGTGATCCACCAGGAGATATAGGAAAGAGCTATTGAAGCAGAGACCTAGGAAACTGGAATTGCCAAAGCTTGTCCAGTAAGCTAATCACTAACCATACCTGGCTACTGAACATTTAAAATGTGGCTACATTTAAGGAGGAATAAACTTTTAATTTTTTTTAAATGGTCTTGCAGTACTCTCCAGACTAATCTCAAACTCCTAGGCTGATCCTCTTGCTTAGGCCTCCTGAGAAGCTGGGACTACAGGCATACACCATCACATCCAGATGATTTTTCTTAATTTAAATGTAAACAGCTACACGTGGTTAGTGACTCCCTATCCAGATGTACAGTCACACATCATGAGTCTTTTAAATTAGCTAACAGTATTCCATCTAGTTGGCTGCCCATCCCAGATGACTTTGGCTCCAAATATCACTCTTAGTCTACCTGTTGTACCTTCTAACTTCAAACTGTTTTCTTGAACTATTGAATAACTGCTCCCCAAAAGGTTGTAAGCCAGTCCAAAAACATAACCCTAGCCTGGCAGAGCTAAGTGTAGTATAATTTTCTCTTTTCTGCTATGCTTAAGAAGTATTTTGAGACTGATAAAGTGATCGCTGAGTGAACACAAAGACTTGCATTTGATCCCTACAACTCACATAAAAAGCCAAGTGTAGTGGCATGCATTTGTAATCCTAGCTATGGAGAAACAGAGACATGTGGAACCTGAGGCTCACCGGCTGGCCAGGATAGCCAACTGGGAAAATTCTAGGTCAGAGAAGAGACTTTGTCTCCCCACAAAGGGTAGATTGGGCATGCAAGATGGCCCATGGGTAAAGGTGCCTCCAGCAAGCCTGATGCTCTAAGTTCAATCACCAGAGCCCACATGTGAAAGGAGAGAACTGACTGCCACTAGCTATTCTCTGACCTTTACATGAGCACTGTGACATGCACACACACGCATGCACACACACATGCACACATGCACACACAAACATGTTGTATGTATCTGTTGGCAGATACATACACAAAAAATAAATAAATACCTAAAATGTGGAAAAAAAACTAAAGATGGACAAGTCACAAGGAACAACACCCAAGGTTGTCCTCTGTCCTCCACGTCTACCCACATATAAGTCCCCCCACACACAAATACACACATACACACAAGAAAGAAAGAAAGAGAAAGAAGTTTTAATACCTTAAATATTATTTCCATAATCTGTCATTCATAGGAAGGTCAGGTCATATATAGTCTTACACAAAATACTATAATAACTCTTGCTCTCCATTATATATTTATAAATCTGCTAACGTTGTACAATTTCTAATGCATATCTATTTCTTATTATTTATCAGCATTAGTGCCTTAAAGTCACTATATATAATAATCAAAGTGCAGACAATTCAGCAGGCACTTACTGGTTTAGCAGGACATCAAGAATGAATGATGTTCCAAAGGCATCGACCTGGAAGCTTGCCTGGTCAACGTGAGTCAACTGCAGCATCAAAAAGATAAAGTATTATTTATTAGTCAGTCATGATGATCAAGAATAAGTATTTCTTATCACCAAGCTTACACAAATGAAAAAGCCAATTCAACAAAGATAATAAATGAAAGCACATTAAAGCAAAATTTGTACCTTCTTAGAAGCCAACTATTTACCAACTGAAACTTAAGTACCATCCAATCAAAGAGGGAAAATGCCCTACTTTACTGCTTTGCCTTAAGTAGTAAAATAATGCATTTCTAAGATTTACTTCATAAAGTTTATTCTGTATTTGTGGGAATGACATCTGGACAAAGGACTTTTACTTACCCTTGTCACTAAAGATGTTCTGAGATCATTTAATATGATTTCAACTTGTTTACAAATGTAAAAAAGTTAGTAGGTCTTGAATTCCTCTTGTAATCTAAACATATATCTTTACTCTCTCATGACCCTTCCTTGCCACCGACCCTGAAAAATGTATGAATGCATGTATGTACGTTACTATACATATCAAGCCCAGCAAATACTTGTTGAAAGCAACAGATTGTCCCACTGTGTTGCAAATATCAGGTGCAATTAGATTGGTAACATCTAAAGAAGGAAAATGTGCTTGATTCAAGAGTTAAATAATACAGTGAATACAATCTATTTACAAGGAAGATACCTAAACTTTTATAAAAATGTTTCCATCATACCTTAAATATATACTTAAGAATTTATATTTAAGTTCTAATTTGCCAAACCTAATTTCACAGAGGTTGCCATATCTTCCTAAGAACAAACTTGAGAATTTGTACATTCAGTCAACTTAAGGATTAAGTGGGAAAAGAAGGCTTAACTAACAATAATGAAACTTTCTGGAGCGACAGGATGATTCTCCCATTGAAAAATCTTTGAAAGAGCGTGGTCTGGGAGAATACTGGACAGCAGATGCTAATGTGCCATTCCTCATCAAGCCCAAAAGCCTGAGTACCTGGAAGCCCTTTAGTCTCATCTATCACTCAACCCTAACTCCCTACTCTTTCAGCTAACTCAAGTACTATCACCAAACCTTAGTTTCCTTTTTCTTTACAACAGACCCTGGAGTCACACCTTATTCTTCAGTTCTACCTGTACCATAGATCATAGTCCCCTGATCTTACTAAAGGTGGCTCCTTAGTGAAACCCCAATGTAAGCCCCATATTTCCCACTATATGAAGTACAAACACCCTGTCCCTGCATTTCAAGATACTCCACAACTGCCTCCCCAACTCACTCTAGGCATAACAGTACCTAAGCATCCAAGCACCTATCCACACCCCACCCACACTGAGTTCCCTCATCTACTCTTTAACTCAAAAGCCAAGTGTACTCTAACTTCTCCTATGGCTTTTATTCACTATTTCTCCTGAGTGTTCTTCTTAGCCAGACCCTTCCCCTAGGCTGTTTCCTGAAAATAATACTATCTGAATGTTAGAACTTATATCAACTACCTCTTCTAGAATCTTCCACAGTACCCCTAACAGAAGACCACAGACTGGATAACTTAAGTAATAGAAATTTGCTTTTTCACACTTCGGGAGAATGGACTGTTGGCAGATTCAATTTCTCCCAAGGCCTCACCATGTCCTCAATGGTCTTTTCTTTGTGTGCATTCTTGGTGTCACTTCCTCTTTTTATAAGGATAGTCATCCTTTTGGATTAGGTGGGGTCACCCTGATGACCTCATTTAACCTTAATCATCTCTTTAAAGGCCCTGTCTTTGTATACAATCATATTGGATAACTTCGATATTTGAATTTTCAGAGGACACAATTCAGTCCACAATACTTCTCTCCCACAAAGTCTTCCGTTCCTTTCTCTTCACTGCAGGTCAGGATAATATGAGAGTTTCAGTGCTGACCAGCATCAGGTACTCAATCAGTATTTCCTGGCTTACTGGCTCACTTTAGGGATGTTTTACCCATCACCTGGATGCATAAATGAACAATGGAACAACTACAAATGACCTGTCTACTAAAAGGCAGTCTTCCCACAGGGCTTGCTCTCTCCTCATGTTATGTCAATAATGTTTTTTCTACATAGAAGCCATTTGGGTTTCCTGAACTACTGAGGATCATGTGTTGGGAACAGCCTCAGGAAGGCCCTACTTACCAGAACTGATGTCTCTATTAAAATGAACCTCTCCCTCCTTCATTCTTCTAGACACTTGTATGACTATTATAGCTTTTCTCTGAGTCTCCTCTGAATTACAAATATTAGCACTTTAAATCTGCAGTGCACAAGGCCATGACTATGTGTTGTCTTCCTATCATGATGATAACTCAGATCTGGGTAATGTTACCATTCATTTTTTGGCAAAGTAGTAACTGATTGCATGAATTCTAGTTCTTTCTTTTTTCTGAGCTCTTCTCCTCTAGTTTTTCATAAAATATATAATAGGGTATTATGAACTATCATCACCCTACAGTAGAATAACAATACTTATTGTTCCTATCTAATGGATTGTGGTACCTGTTATCCCACCTCTGTCTATCCCCCTTTTTATTCCTCTTCCTAGCCTCAGACAATTATTATTCTTTCCCTCCTCCTCCTCTTTCTCCTCTCTTCTTCCTTCTCCTCCTCTTCCTCTTCTGGACTTTTTTAATTGCCATATATGAGGAACAACATGTATGCAATGTTTGTTGTCTTTCTGTGTCTTGCTTATCTCATTTCATGTACTGTTCTCTAGTACCATTCACTTTGCCACAAATTAATTCAGTCTGATTTTTTTCTTATATTTTCTTTCTTCTGCAGTGCCTTTTTACATCTGGTGTTTTATTTGATATGACTCAGTCAGATCCCAAAGAAACACTTAAATCAAAAAAAAAAAAAAGTATGGATAGCTTGTTTGACTAAGTTCTTTTTTTAAGTCTTTATTGTGTGGCATACATTAATACAGTTTAAATATAAGATGTTTTTCTTAGACTATATTCTGATGGATTCATTGAACAAATTTCTGACAGCTCACCAAGTACTAGGAATGTGTTAGATTCCCAGTTTAGGGGACAAGGTACTGAAGAAGACTAACCATGTTTCTGCTATAACAGACTTTTAGTCTAATAGAGGGAGACAGAAAGTGAACAATTAAAGAGTTTACAAAATAAATTTACTGTTCTAGAATTTAATAAAATAGGACAATGCATAGATTAGCAGGATGAATGGGTGTCTAAAGGTAGTCTTGGAGGAACATTCTGAGGTGGTGACTTCAATGAGGCAATATTTACCTTCAAGTTCTGGGAGGCAATCAAGGGCTGTAGCAATAGCCTATGTTGTTTTGGGAGCCTCTTGGACTACCTCGACCAACAACTCAAAGGGAGTTTCCCTTGCCTGGCACTGTGATTTTGTTATATAGACTTCAGCTATACTCCCTGAAGACTAGCTCTCATAGTATCAGAATATACTATTCAAGTTGCCAAGAAAGAAAACCAACCAAGGGTCCCACCCAGCTGTAAGCCTATGAACCACAGCAACGACCAGTCAAGCAAATTATCTCTGTTGGTGCAGTAATGGTACTTTTATCTACGGAATAATCAACAGCTGTCTAATTGAACTTAGATTCTGCTCAATTGAAAGGAATGCATGTGTGGTTCTATAAACATAGCTAAGTAAACATAGTTGGAGAGGTCACAGACACTAGAGAAGAACCTATTTCTGTCATCGTCCTAAACCAAAATAATTTCTAATTCTATTCTAAATATGTATCCTTAAATTTACAGACAAGTACAATCACCACTCATAAAAGAAGCATGGACTCAGTGCATTTGTGTGTGTGTGTGTGTGTGTAACATTAATAATCAAATAAGAGGACAGGAATTGAGGGGGTGGGGAGGACATGGGAAGAGTTAAAGAGGAACTGGAAGGATGGGAATAATGCAAATGCAATACTCAAGGATGAAATTCTCAAAATAAAATAAAAATGAAATTTTAAAAAGAAAAGCCACCCTATGGAATACATAGACAATACTTTCTTCTTAGCCTTATGAGACCTGTTTCAGGCTTCAGCCCTCCAGAACTATAAGACAGTATTTTTTACTGTTCTAAACCACTAAGTTTTGAATAATATGTTAAAGCAGCAACAGAAATTGATACTGGGTTTCTGACACGGACTCTGAACACTTAGAAAAGTAGTTCCAATATGGTTCATTGAACCAGTGTTCTGTGTCATTTTCCTCCATGGCTTGGTTAAAAGTCAATGTACCCACAGCAGCAAAACTGATACTTGTGAGGTCACAAGGATCAAATTCCAAACACAGACCTTCTGTGCTCTATTAGTCCATTTTGTGTGGCTACAACAAAACACAGGACACTGGGTAATGGACTAAAAAAAAAATAGGTGTATAGGTGGGGTGGTACATGCCTTTAATCCCAATACTCAGGAGGCAGAGGTAGGTGGATCTCTGTGAGATGGAGGCCACATTGGTCTACATAGCAAGTTCCAGGCCATCCAGAGTTACATAGTTGTGGGGACCTAAAGACCCCACCTTGCATAGGTCCGAAAGGAAGTTACTGGGGGCGTGGCCTGGCTTGCTTTGAAAGTCTAAAGAATACTTCCGCACTGCTGAGGAGTGCACGATTAGTGCATGACCATCCTTAATATACACCCTTAGTAATATCTGTAATAAATGAGTCCCTGCTTGACTAGGCTCTCCGTTGCATCTGAGTGTCCCCGGTACTGGGGGCAGCATGGGCTGGCAAATGGCATGCTTACTCATCCCCAGTCACCATGCTGGGGGGTCGCTGGTTCGAACCCCCGACAGCTGGCACCCAGCGTGGCACTCAAAGGAAGGTGAAAAGAAGAAAAGAAAGAAGAAAGGAGGAAAACGGATTGGGGCCAATCGGAAGTTCGGGGTAAGCAAGGCCCGAAATATGCGTAACGAAATTAATAAGCTTGAGGACCTAATGCTTAAAGTGCTGAGAGATATGCTTAAAAACAGGGGATTGGATTTTTCAGATCCCGTAGCTCGAAAGGTTTGGGCAGAGGCTA